TTAGACAGGATTGTTCTCTCTAGGCCAGATCCCTGAGTGTGAACCCCATTCTGAGCTGTGACATCAAGATCAATTCCTCTGATTAAGTGCTGCTCTTCGAGGTGCACTGGGGCCGCAGGAGGAACCCTATGCCCACAGTTTGCAAGGAGAGAGGAAGAAAAGCTGGCATGCTACAATATGGTGCCTTACATCAATGATGTCGCTCCTAGGTGACATCTGGCCATGCCTGGGGTCACATTTATAAACTGTCATGAGTGGGGTCTAAGTGGTTGCCACTGGCATCTGGTAGGTAGTAGCCCCAGATACCACTAAACATCCCACAATTGTGAAATGCCAAATCCAAAATGCCCACAGAGCTCCTGTTCAGAAACCGTGGCCCAAATGAGCTGGGCAAAAGACAGACTCTTTAGAGGACTTTAGAAGAACATTAAAAAACACAGCCCTTAAATCCGTGACTTTTTGGAAACTGGAATACTCAAGAGTTCATCAATCAGCTATTTGCAGGCCAATTCGAAATAACTTCAGAAGTCACAAATCCCAACTCCTCATTTTACAGATAAGGAAATAGGTACCCAGAGGGAAAGTGACCCTAATGACAAGAGAGGAGCTGCTCCTTGATCATCACAACATTCCAAATGGCGATATTGTAAGGATTCAGGCATTATGCTGGCCTGCCCCGTCACCTGGCAGAATGTACTCAGGCAGTGCCCTGGTCAGCCCAGGGGTCCATAGTTTCGGTAGTCTGCACACAGGCGCAAAGGACCCCTTTAAAAGAAAGAGCAGTTATGCTCTCTTTCTGCTCTCTTTCAGCTCTCTTCTCTCTTCTAGCTCTCTTTGCCCGCTTCTCTTTCTGCCCTCTCTTTCCTGCTCTCTTCCCCGTGTTTCCCCTGGGGCAGACAGGACTTTTCCTGTCTCCCTCTTCTCTTCCGTCCTCTCTCTCTGTCTCTGTGTCTCTTACCTCTTTTCTCTTTCCTTCACCCTCGGTCCCCTTTCTAATAAAACTTCTCACTAAAGCTCTGTCTGCCTGGCATGCTTGTCCTCTGACTCAGTCACCTCCACCTGCCATGGAATCCACCAAGGTTCCCCACGCAAGGTCCCCTTGAGCCTTTATCATAACAGGTATAGTAGTGCTTGTTTATGAATTTAACAATCAAAAGAGTGCTGTGAGACCAATACTATCCCTATTTTGTATATAGGGCTACTAAATTTCTAGAGGTTTAAGTACCTGCCCAAGGTCCCACAGCTTATAAATTCCTGCCCTACCTCAACCCACTGTGGGCTTTGAGACCTAAGTCCAAAATCTTTTTATGCGTAGAGACTCTCTAGAACTGAGTGACTGGGCCCAATTCTTCCCAGCACCAAGTCTAATCCATAGTCCTGCCCTGCCTGTCCCATCTGTCTGCAGCTCTCACATGCCTGGTCACAGAGAAATAAGACACATGGGGTGGGGCATAACCCTAGTCCTTGCTCCAGGGGACTCCTTCAGTGTGTCTCTTCTTCAGTGTCCAACAAACAACAAGACCTACCTCCTGTCCTTTCAGTTCCAAGGATCCACTCTTCCTCCATGTAAGTCATCTCAGTTAGAGGTCCCATTCTTTAGGATTTTGTGAGCCCCATTATAATCTAGAAGAAAGATAGATGACAGATGATACATATATACACACATGTAAATGACAGATTAATGACAAATGGATAAATACATGATAGCTCAATTACAGATTGATAGCTGTATAAAAAGAAAATAATGAAAAAGAACAGTAAATAATGAAGAAAATGTCAAGAGAAAATAGGTAAGAGAAAGAGAGATCTACATAAAATTTTCCTTGTCAAGTACAACTAGTAACAAAATCAATAATCACTTTCCATCACCACAGGCATTTCATAAAATGACGATTGTTCCAATGTCAAAAAGAGAAGGAAAGGTCTGATCTTAAAGTATTTAAAGTAAATAACTATGTAAAGAAACAAAAACCTACCAACAGTGCTTTCCCTCCTTCCCACACACAAAGTGGTCAGGGCCAGGGAATTACAAACCTGAGTCCACCCATAGTCAGTAAAAAGTCACTGCAGGGATGGCTGAAGCTTCACAGTGAGGAACTCAGAATTATTGTGGCACTTTGGCTATTGTGTAACACAAAGAGCTTTGCATTCAAATACCTCTGCCTGAATCCCCAGATTGAGGGAAGCTAGGCTGAGGGGGCAGAACCACAGAAGTAGTGTTACCCAAGCTCCTACATGTAAGGCCACAGCCTCAGCCCTTGCAAAGTGGAGCTAAGCTAGTAAAGAAGAGTTGAAGAGCCAAAGAGAAGGTGTGGCGTGCTTCCAACAAGTCTGGTGTTGGTGTCACCCCCTTCTCAGAAGCCAAGAATCATCCTCCTGCCTCCAACTGGCACTTTCTGTTCAGGAGGCCCTATCACACCCCGTGAGCAGGCCCTTCCTGGTCCTGCCTCAGCTGTTTTCCCAGGTAGGACTAAGAACCAATCCCTCCAACTTTAGCCTCTCCAACACCAGTGTGTCTTCCCTGGTTCTTCCCTGAGAAGTACTGTGAATCGGTACCCAGGGAAACACCCTCCAGTGACCACAGGCTGCAATAAATACCCCCAAGGTTTTCCAGCATGTTCTATCTCTTTTCCCTGCCCCCACCCCACAGGAGAAAAGATCACCTTGTAAATGATGGTTTAGCTTATGCAAATACACTGCCGTTCCCAAAGGAAGCAAGCATCCCTGTGCCTATGGTTACGAAAACACCATGGTGGTTTTTGAGAGCAGAGGCCCGCCCAAATATCCCCTCTTGGTGGAGTGCATCTGAATATGAATATCTAAATGCTGATGGCTTTGGTAATTTCGTGATTCCTATTTCCTCCTGTCAGTGGGGAGGGGTCTTGTATTGCTTAACCTAGAAAGTGGAAGCTGTAGGCATTGTGCTTTGAGGTGCTGGAAAATAACCCGGTGATCAAGACAAGACTGAGCTGCTGAGGGTGGAGTAAGGGAGAGGATCGGGTTGAAACCAACATTGTGGGAAGACTGAAGAAGGAAAGCAGTCAGTGAAACGGCCTCATTAAGGAGGGATCATTCCCAGGGCACAGGGACTTGGCAGTTCCCGGCTCCATACAGTTCTCCTTTCTCCCAAGCTGCCTTTGACTCCAGAGCTGACAACACTGTTTTCCCCCAAATGCACCCTGCCTTCATCATCGGGTCTGCCACAGGCCCTCCCACCAGCACCATAACTGGGCAGGGTAAAAGGAATCCATTATGGTTGTGATAAACAGCCCGCCTTCCCCAGTATTCTGACTGCTGCAGGGAACAGTCTCCAAGTCCTGGGCTGGCATGTGTGTGAATACTGAAGGCTCTGAGTTTGTTGCACAAGAAGCCCTGAGAGGAACTCATACTGCACAGGTAGGGTGGACCTGGGTTTGTTGTAGTAAACAGGAGAAAGGAGGGGAGGGAGGGAAGAAAACGGGGGAGGGTTATGATCCGAGCTCACTCATTCTGCTAAAGTTTGCAGAATCTCGTGGGTGTGAAGCCCAGGACCAGATACATTGTGGTGATGGGGGGCAAACCTCAGGACCTTCTTAGCCTTCCCTTCCTCTCAAACAAAACCTGTCCTCTGTGGAGAAACCATCTTCCTTCAGTCATTCATCTCTGGTTGCCTTAGTGCAGGGACATGGGCGTTTGCCCTAGAATACATTTGCAGTTTGAGAGGCTTCAATCCCACGTTGCAAGAATATGAGAACGCACTGATCTGATGGAGCCATTTCTGACAGGCAGGCAGGGCTTCTCAGGTCTGAAGACATTCACTCAGTGAGAAACCTGCATCCCCCCCCCCCAGAGGAGAGAGCCCTCAGGGACTGAGAGGTCTAGAGAGACATTAGAAGAGGCAGTTGAGCCGGATTCCTTCTGTACAACTTCTGTTACCATGATAAAAGAGCTGCATCTGGCTACTTTATAGACAAAATGTGTTTACATAGCTCAGTTTAGAAGGTACAAGGGTCTGAATCCTTAGTGACTGCTTGTTGGCAAAGCCCCAGGTCGGCACAGGGAATTACTCAGGTGTGTCTCGCTCTCCTCCTTTTCTGAAAAAAAAAATGCACAAGGACCCAATCCCAGACACCCCAACCAAACAACCACCTCTCCAAGGTCCCACCCTGCACACCACAGTCAGGTTAAGGTGTCATGCTCCCAACCTTACCAGGAACCCTTACCAGGGACACATTCCAAATTGAAACAAATGAATGGAAAGATTCCTCTTTGCCACAACAGTTTCAACATGGTTGGTGGTGAATTCACATGATAGAAGATCACATGACACAGGGAATCTCAGGTGCTTGAAGCAGCACTGACCTGCAGGCAAAAACCCTAACTCTTACAAACTGTTTCACCGCTCCAAGCCTCAGCTTTCTAATCTGTAAAATGGGACTAATGATCAGTGTGTGGGGTTATGGTGTTGTGTCAGTCTGATAAGAGAAGAGTTAAACAGACACACACACACACACAAGCTAGTAAAGATAGAGCATTGTCATCCCAACAGGCTAATGACACAGCTTACAGAGCACCCAGCACATGCTGGGCATCAATCCAATGCTGTCCACACCTGCTCTCCTTTAACCCTTTGGAACCCCTGTGAAGAAGCTAATATTATTACTCTCATTTTCTAGATTAAAAAAAAAAACAGAAATATATGTTAATAGGTTAATAACTCACTTGAGATCACACAGCTAGAGAAGGGTTGGGCTTGAAAATGACACACCACTCAATAAGCTATGATTGGTGTTCATTTGTTCTTAAATGATACTGTTTGCTGGTTTAAATAGGAAAGGTAATTATTAGAGTGATATGGTATTAGCCTAGTGTAATGGCACTTGCCTGCAACCCCAGCACTCAGGAGGTAGAGGCAGGATGATTACATATGCACAGTGTCAACCTAGATAACACAATGAGTCTCTGTCTTAGAAAACAAAACAAGAGGGGAAAAATGCAATCTTGTATCACATCTTTGAGTTTGTGTGTAAGCTATATGTATATGTTCATGAGTATGGATGGGCACACTAGCATTTGTGGATGTATGTTGGAGGCCAGGTAGTGACAATATGAGTTGTCCTCAATTGCTTTCCACCTTAATTTTTGAGATAGGCTCTTTTGTTGAACCTGGAACTTACTAGTTGGCTAGGTTAGCTGCTGACCAGAAAGCTTCTAATACTCCCTAGTCTCCATTCCAGCCTCCACCCCAATGTGCTGCCATGCCTGCTTTTTAAATGGGTGCTGGGGATCCAAATGGCAATTCTAACACTTGCATAGCAAGCATTTTACCTACTGAGCCATCTCTCCAGCTCTGGGGGGATTTTTATTTATGCATATTTTACCTAGATTTACCGTTAACTTCAACACACACACACACACACAGACACACACAGACACACACTTATACTGTATTCCACTCCACTGAGAGCCAGGCTGGAGAGGGACAGACACTGAGTACAGAATGGATGGGAAAGGATTTCTTTGGCTTCACCATCCTTTCTAACTGTTGCCAATACTAGGTGCCTGGTCTTGAACAGCCATGACGATGGAAGTGCTCCCCAAGGCCCTGGAGGTAGATGAGAGGTCTCCAGAGTCTAAGGACCTGTCTCCCAGTCAGACAGCCAGCTCCCTGTGTATCAGCTCCAGAAGTGAGTCTGTCTGGACCACCACCCCCAGAAGCAACTGGGAAATCTACCACAAGCCTATCATCATCATGTCAGTGGGTGCTGCCATTCTGCTCTTTGGTGTGGCCATCACCTGTGTGGCCTACATCTTGGAAGAGAAGCATAAGGTTGTTCCAGTCCTCAAGATGATAGGGCCTGCCTTCCTGTCCTTGGGACTCATGATGCTGGTGTGTGGGCTGGTGTGGGTACCCATCATCAAAAAGAAACAGAAGCAAAGGCAGAAGTCCAACTTCTTCCAGAGCCTCAAGTTCTTCCTCCTGAACCGCTGATGGCAATCTGACCAGAAGATCTGCTGACCAGCATCTGGCCTCCTAACCTTCTCTGTCAGATACCACCAAGCTGATCCAGGCAAACCCTCTTCTTGGCCTGAGGGCAGGACAGAGCTCAGGGCTTCACCCTCTCACAACCTAACAGTGTTGCTGGCTGAGTCTCACCTGGTTTCTCCATCCCTGTTGATGCTCCCTCAGATATTCTCAATATTCTCATCCCTGGCAGCTGCATTTAGCCATCATCCATCTCACTCTCCCTGCCAAGGGCAGTGCATGCTGAGAAATTCTTGGGGGATTGACTATGCTCCCAAAAAGAACTTCGTGTTATACTTGTGTGTCTCTGCTGGATTCCACATCTGCAACTTTCTGGAACGAAAACCGATCAAGGAAGGAAGGGTGACTTCAGACCTACTGGGTTTAACAGTCTTGGCTCCCTTCTTGGGTAAGACATTGACTTTACAAGAGACAGGACAATTGTCATGTGTCACACATTCCAAAATCTGGACAGTGATGGGGGATGGGTAGGGGGGAAACACTGTCCAGGGCAGGTCATTCCTCTAGGCATAGCTCTAGAAGTTAGCTAGCCAAGGAAGTTCATTCCCAAATCCATAGTGTTGACACCAGAGGCAATAGGGCGGGCTAAGTGGTGCCACAGTTTCCCCTTGACCCTCCAATGCCCTTCTCACAGACTGCCTTCAACTTGGCAATTAGCCAAGAACAAATGCTCCTTGTTCTAACTCCTTCCCCCACCCCACCTCTGTCTCTATGCATCGCCAGAACAGAAGTATGGAAGGTCACAGATGGGACCTGTAAGGTCATCTCCCCTTCCTCTCAGTCCAGACCTAACCTGAGATGGGATGCCATGTCCAAATGCCCCATGGGTTTCTAGAGATAGATTCACCAAAGAAGATTCTAACCTATATCATCCCTGTTCCTCCCCACCAAACAGGAGAGTATTTATTGAGTTTCCTTCTCTGGGCCTAGGTTAGGAACAACCAGACCCAGTTCCTGATATCATCTTATTTCCAAAAGTGAGAGTGGGGAGCCATAGTCAAACCAGTTGGCAATATCACATGCTGAGTTCTTAGGGTGGCTCTGTGAACACATGGGTCTAACATAAATTTACAGGAAGACAGAGATATTTCTGGAGACCATGCTCATCCCTCCTGAAGACAAAGGGAAAATAAATGTTAGGAAAGGGCAAGTTGTGTAAGGCCTTGCATGTGAAAAAGCTGGGGGAATGAGGCCCTGTGGAGTTATAGCTCCTGGATGCTGTTTCATCATCTCCTGTCTACTTCCCTTCTGCTTCCCCAAGTGCCTTATATCCAGCTTCTCCTTGGTACCCTGCAAACTCCCAGGTTCTATAGAGACTGGGAGATGCATCTCCAGAGGGCCCCCACCAAGTAGATACAACCCAAGAGGTAAGTGCCCTCCAAACTTCTTATAGACACCAAGAAGCCTTTAGGTGAAAGACCAGGTGCCCATAACAGCTCCCCCAAGCTGTGCCAAGCCAGAGGCCAGGGGAAAGCACCTGATAACAGGGTGACAAGAGCTACATTAATCCCAGTTATCTCCCTACATCCCTCAACCTTCACGCATTTAGAATCACCATAGCAACCTCTGTCCAACAGGTCTCTAGATGTCTCATTCCTTCACAGAACTTCCATAGGCAGAGTCAGAATCCATCTTTGTTCCTGTTGCATTATGGGAAATCCCTGGAGGCAGTGTTTTTTTTTTCATGGGATCACACACACCCACCAACACACACACTCACACACACACACACACACACACACACACACACACACACACACACCAACTCCTTAACTAAAGAGAGTTTGGGGAGCCTCTGGCCTTTCAAAGCTCACTTAAGATAATAATGTCCTTCATTAAGATTCATATCAATGAGCCCAGATCCTCCAGTACATCATCCCTAGCACGCAGGTCAGGACCATCTGGGGTTATTGCAATGCTGCCACTAATTTGAGTGCTAGTGCCTCAGTGATGGGCCTTGAAGATCACTTTCCTTCTCCTGGCATGGAGCCTCTCATTTCTTGGTGCTTTCTTGAAAGAGAGCACACACAGATGAGTTCGCTCAGAGTCCATACCCCACACACCTCATTATCCCAAGAGCTCATTGTCTGGGCACAGCCCTGGAAGGAGGGTCTTTGCAAGCATCACTGTGGTATATGGAAGGGAGTTTGGGGATAATCATGGTATCAGGAATTCTTCAAGTTCAAAACATCTTTTTCAGCCACATCAGTACCTGTCCCCACCTCATCACCCCCTCCTCAAGTAGACAGAAACAAAAAAGAGCCTTTGAGAAAAAAATCCCAAATATTGGTTCCCTCCCCCTACTGGATTCCCCTACACAAGTGAGGGCCCGGAAATGGGATGAATCACCCTAAAAGCAGCGCATCTTGGAGCTTTTTGCCAAAGACTATTGCATCATGAAACCCTGAGGTGAGGACAGTCTGTGAGTGAAGCCAGGCTGGATGCCACATTTCTGCAACAAAGCATCCTGGGCAATGACTTTGGTCATCTCTCTGGCCAGAAGACAGGCCCAGCATCCACAGCATCATCTCACCAGAATGTATTACCTGCTCATTCTGTAGCTATTCTGTTTTGGAGAATTTAATCTAATCTGAAGCCTAAAGGAATCAATGTCATGTTGAATTGTATTCTATTTAAGTGTCTGCCATGTTCATCCTGTTTCACTAGGCATTTGAAACCCACAATCCCTCCTCCTCTGAAATGTTCCCCCATTGCCACATTTCCTCTCCCAAGAAGGATGCCAGGGAGAATAGAGACAGAGTGGGTTTCATGCATGTCTCCTCAGGTGCCTCTCTGCCTCTGGTGGCTCTACTCCGGGGTGATGGTGGTACAGAGGGATCCCACAAGCCCAGTATTGAGACCCCAAACTTTACCTGAAGAAATTACATTCTAGAATGAATTTGTGGTCTAGGCGAGGCAGGTAGAGACCAGGTCCTCCAAACACAAATCAAAGTAGGGGCTTCCTTTCACCTCCCACTCCAGAAGCCTATCTACTTAGACTCTATTAGGACAGCTGTTCATGCCTGAGTCTTGCTCCTGAGACTCACAGGCAGCCTCAGAGACTCTGCTGGTTATAGGAGCTGTCACTCTATAACTAGGTTCCTTAGGTCTCCAGCAAGGGACCTTATATCTGAGGGACTATGCTCAATTCTGCAACCTGCAGGTACAACGTTCAGGGTTGCCAGGCCACCTCACAGTCTAGGTCTCTACGCTAAGGGAAAGACAGGTTCACTAAAGGGTGAGTGAGACCATCAGACCACCAAAATAAGACCATCTCCCACTCTCCTGTGGGTTTCTCTAGAAAAGCAGGGAGTCATTATCAATGCTCCTTATCAATCAGTCACAAATACTAAGTTGGGATTGTCTTCAATAAATGACAAAATGCCAATGGGAACTGTGCTCTTTTCCTGGGCTGCATGGGAAGTGTGTTTCCAGCCACAGCTGCTTCACTCACTCCTCAGACTCTGGCTCTGGCATTTCCTTTTCTCTGCTGCTTTGTTCATACACCAACTCTAACTGACATTCCAATTAGCCAATTACCCAAGCCCACAGCAGACATCAGAACCTGGATGACATAATGAAGACATAGGCTCTGACTTTCAGAAAGCTATCAGGCTAATTCCCAGAGAAAGGGATTAGAGAAGAAAGACAAGGGAATCTTCATGTGTGATACTGTATAATTATGGTGGGGGGAATTAGGGATGTTCAGATAATGGTACTCAAGCCAGCCTGATCCCAACGTGCCTCTGGAATACAGAAATGCTGGGTTTTAACATCAGATACAGAGGGAAGAGACCGAGGCAAGAGAAAAGAGGCTGCTCACTGGTTAGTTGGAGAAACTAACCCCCACCTTGACCTCTGGTGCTGCTCCATTTTGCAGTCTTGCTCTGAAACTCATCCATCCCAGCCTTCAAATTGTGGCAGGTGCATATTTGTAAGATATGTTTGGGGTTAGAAGATTAAGGGCTCCCCACATTTCTCCTACTTGCCTACACTGTTTGGAGATCTAACCTTCAACAAATAGCACTGTGGTTCTGCCCTTTTCTCGAACTTTTCCTTCCCCAATCCCCACCTTTTCCTTAATCTAACACTTCTCTAGAGCTAAGAGATGTCTCAATAGTTAAGAGCTCTGGCTGCTACTTGAAAGCCCAATCCCCACAACCCACATGGTGACTCACAATAATCTATAACTCTAGTTCCAGGGGATCCAATGCCCTCTTTTGGCCTCTGTGGGCAATGCATGCAGACATGCATGCAGGCAAAACACCCACACACATAAAACAAAAGCAAATAAATATTAAGAAAAAATTAAGCACTTCTGTGAGTGACTGCTATGGCAATGGTTTTATTGTGGCACTGTGGAAGGGTGCCTTCCCCAAACCATCCCCACATGTCCAATTCCTAGTTGACTGTTAAGTCACTATGGTGACTGTTTAAATGTATTGTCTTACATCTTTGGAGGTCAGAAGTTCCATCTCAGAGGGCTCCAGCAAAGCATATTCAGGACCGCCGTTCCCTCTGAGGATCCAGGGAGGAATCTACCCCCTGCTTTATGCAGTTTCTATCGGCTGTCTGCCTTCCTGTTTGTAGACTCCTATTTCCAGCAAGAAGAATTTGAAGGACTTGGCCTCTTATGTCATTACATCTGCTCTGACCCTCTTGCCACCTTTCTTTCTTATAAAGACCTTTATTCTTGACCTTATTTGGGCCTCTTCTATTGAGACCTTATGTTGAATCCATGGGGGTAGTCCAGGAAAAGATCTCAAGTTCAAGCTCTTGGTCCTAGTTGGCTAATACTTCTGTGACAAAATCCCACAGAACAGATGGCTTAGACAACAGACATCTGTTCTTATGGTTGTGGAAACTGGAAGGTGGAGGGCAAGGCTAGTCAGAGCTAGTTTCCTTTGAGGCCAGTGTCTTTGGCTGGCAGATGCCATCTCCTTTCTGTGTCCCCATGTGATCCCTCATCCATACAGTTCTGTTTCCTAATCTCATATCCTTACAGGGCCACCAGGCACATTTGTCCAGGGCTACCATTATGACCTCCTTTAACATGATTACCACTATAAAGAAAGACCTTGTCTCAAATAGAGTCCCATCCTGGAAGCCTGGGGACAGGGATGACAACATGTGCATTGGGTAGGGATGTAGTTCAACCTCTAATAATCTCAGTCACATTGGCAAAGTCCCCTTCTCCATGTAGAAAAACCTGTCCCCAAGTTCCAAGGATTCTGATTAGACATCTTTGGGAGGGTCTGACATTCACTTGGGGACTGGGAAGATGTCTCAGTGGTTAAGGGTGCTTATTGCTCTTCCCAAGGATCTAAGTTCAGCTCCCAGTACTCACATGGAGTAAGGAGCAGTCACAACTGCCTGTAACTCCAGTTATTAAAATCACTTCTGGCCTCCTTGGGCCCCCAAACACAAGTGGCATCCA